GAACTGATCATCCAGAGTTATATAACTGGTTGATCAGTGCTGAATATTGTGCACTGCATAAGTCTTTCAGACCAGTTGTTTTAGAGTGGCTTGAACTAGTCTATGATTTAATATGTGGAATTCGTCATTCGTATGTACAAGAGTGGTATATACCAGCGAGAACTCTATTTCAATCAGATTATGATAATATTTTAAAAAATCTCAATGATATTGCTGATAATTTATCATTAGATAAAATTTCAGACTTTTTAAAAGTACGTGGTAGTCATTTAAATGTTTACTATTCTATATTAAATGTGTTAAAGCTAAATCCATATTTACATAAATTTGTACTGTTAGTACAGAATATACAAATTGATTTAGATCTTGAAAACTATATTAGACAAGCAGAACAATTGGCATCCCTCTATTTGTGTCAATTTGAATTATTTCGTACACATTCACTACTTAAAAATGTTTATAATACCATAGAAAAAGGGTTCGAATATGAGTTTCTTGATCTAACACCAACAATTACACTTGATCTATGGCCAAAATGTTTAGAACCCACATTAGATGCAATTGGAGAACGTTTTGGACAGAAATTGGCTAGTAAACTTCGTGCTCTTCCATTTTGTCTCGTATCAAAATGGTCACGTGAAGGTATTCAGGATGAAGATGGCCATATTGAGTTTTGTTATTCATTTTCAAGAGCTGAAATTCTAATAAGTCTTAATCGTACTGAAAAACAAACAGCATTTTCGTTGGTTATTAAAAGATTATTTTATCAAAATATTTTTGATTTATATAAAATGGACGAAAACGGTCAACCATTAAAACGAATTGATTCATATTTAGTTAAAATGTTAACATTCTGGTATATTGAATTAATACCCGAACTAGAATGGGAAACTGTGACAGACAAAAATGATGCTCGTTCAGTTGGACCTTATCTAATGGGATTTATTGATTTTGTGATAAAAGCATTTAAATCTCATTACGTTAGTTCCTATTGGAACAGGAATCGATCAACATCAACAAATAATTTGTTAAGAATGTATGATCAATCATTGTTGGATCAGTACGTCGATGTTCTGCTAAAAATACGTTACAACCTCATTGAATACATAATAACTTTGAGACAGCACTCTCAACAAGAATGGATTAAATTATTTGAATTAAATTTTAAAGAAATTCATGATGAACATCTCTTTGATATATTAATTTATTCATCCGGCTATGATCTTCTTCTTCAGTCACATAGTGAAATGAATTCATACGATCGAGCTGATTTTTATTTAATTGGATGTACACTTAAGGAAATGAGTGAGCAACATCATTTTAGAATGTCAGCATCAAAATGGCATGAAATATTTGATGTTAAGTCTATGTATACTCATGAACAATGTACAAGTGGTTGGGTGAAACAACAACGAGTAAACGAAGACTATGGTAAAACAATATACATGACTAAACTCGAAATGAAAACAGAAAATTATCTTCGTAAAACTATTTCATTTATATTAATAGAATGGCTATGTCAATCAGCATCGTTTGCATATCATTTTTTGGTACCAGACATTATACGCGTTAAATATAAACAATGTTTTTCGTTTGATACCATCAACTTCGAGTATTAAGTGATGGTTCATGAGAGAACTGAACAAATCCTTAAGATGGAGACTGCTCAAGAAGCTCCACTTCTGTTGTGACCAGAAAAAAAGAAAATACTCGAATTAAACTTTCCAAATATAACAAACGCTTTCCGGTCGCTTAACCAACCTACAATCAATTTTAAAAGGTCAAGAGGCATCTCTAGTCTACAGAGTTTAACAATTAATCCTATGTGCCAAACCACATCATATGCTTTTTTATAGTCTACTTCAACAGCTGAAACAGGAATATTTGCTGCAAGGTTACTTTTTTATCTCCGATAGATTGACAGAAGACGTGTTTGAAGTCCATTTTCTTTAAATCCGGATTACTCCAGAGGTACAATACTATTTGAGTTCGCCCAAACTTTTACTCTTTTAAGAATAATTTTTATTATATTGGTCGAGTATGTTCGCAGGAGGAGATACCTGATTTTAATTTATTTAAAGTTACAATTTCATGTGAAACAGTTAATACAAACAACAGAATTTAAATCAATATAAACCATATACAACAATTCACCGGTCCATTATGATGACCTTCGTAAAGGAATTTATCGTTTTTTCAATGGAAAATTATTAAGTGTAATAAACAATCGGGGAAATTACTACAAATGGTACAAGTTTGAATGTGACTCAATTACACTTTGAAAAATCAATGCTACTTCGTGATAAATTACATCCTAATGATCAAGACGTTCAGCATTTATCATCATCATTAAAACCTTCAATCAAAAAACAATGAGAAGTATATCGCTTGAATGGCACTTCTGCTGACTCACTAGATTAAGAAAGACATAATTGTTCCTTATTTTGTTATAAAGTTGCATTAGAAGTTTCTGCAGCTGTTCTTTGCATTCAGGAGAGCTTCTTAAAGTCGAAAATTTCGCAGGTGATTAAGGATTATTTCCACCATAAGCAGGATCGTGCAAAGGGTGAAAGGAGAGAGGCAGAGTTATTACACAGATGTCAAACATCGGGTTATGGCGAGATCAAAAGAACTTGAGTATGTTGCATTCGCACTATTTTGTTCTGATAAACCTATATTTATTTTCAAGAACTATGGTGTTCCTTTCAGTCCTCTAAACAAATGAGTGAGTATCTTGATAGTTTTGAATAGCTCATATTAAAAACAGTAAAAAATGATGAAGAGACAGTAGTGACAGTCTCAATGCTGTCAAGTAAGTACAAAATTTTAATTCCAGAAATAAAAAAGTTGATTTTTCAGGAATATTATGGTTATTAAGAATGCTGTATATCCATCAACTTAGTTCCAAACAAGATTCCGCTTATCGAAAAAATTATCGGATTCGGTGCCACTCTCAGTGCGAATTGATCAACACCGCATGAATTTTACAACATGTTCTGCCTTTTTTCGACAAGCCGCTTAAGGATATTATTATAGAGTGGGACATGAACTATATTCTCTACAACTTTGAAGAATGTTCCATGTAAGGTTCGCGAGATATTCAACTTTTTCATATCTCATGACTATCATACAAAACTTTTACGTCAGAAAAAAAGAGCAATGGCAGTACTAATGATGATGGCACCATACTAACGGCAACCTCAGCTATCATGTAAAAATTTGAAAAAGCGGATTTTTATGGTCATAATCGAACTGAGAATGCAAGAAAATCTATAGGAAGTATTTTTTATCAGAACCAAAGTTTAAAACACTGAGAGTACTCAAGCATACTTCATGTTGAAAAGTGGAATATCTGGTGAATCTTACATGGAACATTCTTCAAAGTTGTAGAGAATATAGTTCATGTCCCACTCTATAATCATAACCTTAAGCAGTTTGTCGAAAAAAGGGAGAACATGTTGTAGAATTCATCGCGGTGATGATCAATTTACATTCAGAGTGGCGCCGAATCCGATAGTTGGCTGGAAGAGTAAAAGTCAATTTTCTCGGGTTCTGCTTCAGCTATGAAGTCAGAAACGACGCTTTCTTACATTATTTGATGTGCTCTATAAAACTAGATTGGTCTTAAGTGAAGTGGAACAACTTTAGTAAAACGTGGGACATTTCAGATGAATTTGCCCAAGCACAAGTCGTCGAATTTGTTTGAACGTGATTATCAGCAAATGCAAATATCTTTTTTCCCAAAATAACGACAATCAATCTTCATGGAGAAATGGGTATCGAATGGGAAACATATAATCCAACACAAGCAGATACCCGATTTGAACCGTTAGATCACTGATGGGTTTAAAACTGCTTTTTGAAAGTTAAAAGTTGAAAAAATTTTTAAAAAACGAGGGGTTGAACGAGTTACCACTCCAAATGGATAGAGTGATAACCATTTCAACTCCAGTTATAACTGCATCAGTTTTAGTAATGACTACCCCAATCCAAAATAAAATTATGTAAGCTCATTTCAGTTTGTGTTATGGCATAGTTATAACTGAAGTTGAAATAGTTATAACTCTCTCAGCTGCAGTTATATCAATCAACGCGAGTTGATAATTATAACTGTAGTTCATAGTTATAGCTATTGCAAATTTTTGACTAAAAGTTAAATTAGTTATAACTACTTTCAACTCCAAATGGTTATAGCTCAGGTAGTTTTAAACCCATCAGTACGTTAGATTCAACCTTTGTATTTGCGTTGACAAAAGAAACAAGTATGTATAAAAAGGGCGTGAATTAAAACTTATTGATCAGTACTTGATGTTCTTTTCATTTTTCTAGATCCATCATTAAACGTACATCAATCACGGAAAAGAGCTGTTGTCGCGTCAATTATTTCTTCTGTGTTGTCTGGATAAGTGGTTGAAATTATAACATACAAAGCAAAATAAGAAACTATGTATTTCGTAGGCATGCCAATAACTGTCTTTGGCTTCTCATTTTATGTTAAATTTTTTTGTGTACTTGTGTATGTAATATTGGGATAAAAGAGTCAGATCCATTTCGTCTCATTTTGTTCAGATAGATTATGTTTACTTGAACTTTTTCTCGTATCAAAGAAAGAAAACATACAAAAATCTTTTTCATTAAAATAAGAGACGTTCTTGGCAGAGATGCCACCGGTCAACAAAATCTTAACCGGTACCGGCCCGTCTCCGGTGACAGGCGAACATGTGCAGACAGGACCGGTTGAGCGACCATTTTTTTAAAAAATATAACCGTTAAGCGACCGGTGTTTTTTACTTTCTGTTCAATATAAATATACTTTTTTTCTGTCATATTTTCTAGTTATAAGTCAAGTCGAGCGGTCTCAGCCTAGCAGTTTGACCAGAACTGATCCAATCGGCCGGTTGATAAGTCTTGACGGGACCGGGAACTGAGGCTCGGCTGTATCTCTGGTTCTTGAGATGTTCCTTGGATGTTCCGTTTTCTTCTAGATTGTCACTTTGAATTATACGAATAATAAGTCAGAATACTAAAAAATAAAACGTATACCCTAATATAAAATAGGAGAATATACCATCGATCCATTGTCGAATCCAGAAAACGTGAAAGTGCTTCAGAGGAATCTCAATCTTCACATTCCTAATATCGACTTGATCACATTTAAAATGACTCAACGTTCACAATCATAAAGCAGAAGAAAATATGCTTTAACCCACCATAACCCGCGCATCGGTCTCTATCTATCAGCTAGAGTATATGGTATTCAAAATACTGGTTCACACTTCGGAAGCGTTCCTCTTGGGTCTTACTATAGACTATTATGTATTTATTATCAGAGCTAGAATAAATATAGTGATCTAGTTGTTTTAAATCTGCTATAATTATGAATAATTTGTTCTGAAAACCATAAAAACTATATGAAATTACTTATATTTATACGATTCGACTGTGTGTTTTCATTTTAGACTCTCGCCTCAAATCATGGATAAATTGTTTTCCTGTAAACCAAAAAAAGTTATAAAATTACTTATATTTATACCAGAGATTTATATGCTCCAGAAGAACGAGTATGGCCATTTGATATTAATGTTAATGGAGGTGCTGCGTGTACATTAATTATGCAGAGAATTAACTCAAGGAGAAGTTGTCGAATTTGTCCGAACGTCATTATCAGCAAATGCAAATATCTTTTTTCCCAAAATAACGACAATCAATCTTCATGGAGAAATGGGTATCGAATGGGAAACATATAATCCAACACAAGCAGATACCCGATTTGAACCGTTAGATTCAACCTATGAATTTGCGTTGACAAAAGAAACAAGTATGTATAAAAAAGGTGTGAATTAAAAGCTGTGGTCAGCAGTAAAAAGCTTTTACATACTTTCTAGAACAGTAACTTTCTAACGGAATAATTCTCAATTGAATCCTTGATCTCCGAAAGGATCATCTGTTTCTTATTTAAAAAAATAATTTTCTTTACTACAACTTCATCTGTACTTTTTTTCTACTTCTAACAGATGTAAAGAAAGAGTCAAACTCAGTGGATATTTCAAATGACTGTGTTTTTTCGAATAACAAGAGTATACCGAAAGATAAGAAAGTCGTTTAAACGCATATACAACAACTTTTCGTTGGCGAATTATACTTTTTTTCTATTGTTACCAGTATATTATGCGACTTTTTGGTTTGCCATTAACTACTGTATTTACTTGTGTTTTCGTTATAAAACTGTATATGTTCAGATTGTTTTCTTTTTTGTACGATATTGTAGATTGCTTCTCAGAATAAAAGGACAGTCTAGAGGATTTTTCTGAATCTTCTAGAAATTTATTATTCTTCGGTAGAATCTATCTGGATTTCAGTGTGCCTAGGACAATTCAAGCGATGCTTTATAAGGATTTTAATTAAGAAAACTCTAATAACGTACTGGCGCGATTTTTCATATAGTAGTTATTTAACCATCGACATTTATCCTTTTAGCCATCGGCTGCCACTAATAACAGAATATTGATTTGCTACATGATCATATATGCCCCTGTCTTGTGAAAGTTGTGACAGTTTAATAATAAAGTAGATTTATCGCGAGAACGATCTCGTCCTTCAACCACTAAACCGACTGAAACTAAAGCGAAATTTCATGGTTACTCAAGTATTGTACAAAATGGTACAAAACATTAAACATTCCCACTAAGAAAATTCCTAAATGAGAAAATAATGTCAGAAAGAGTAAAAAAAATAGCTCACTTTGTGAGCAGCATACAAGAAAAATGTGTAAATAAATGAAACAAATGTTAGTATAAAAGCATGCACCAGATTAGAGAGCGTTGAGCTAACTAGTACTACATAGAAAATCTAATCTTCAATGAAGTAATCAACCGCAACTCAACTAAACTACATGGTTGAGGAGAGAACAAAAAAGGTAGAAATCACAAACGCCATAAGTGGCAGAC